CCAAAATTTTACCTGCTGGCAAACAGATAAAGGTCACTCTCTGAAAATATGGAAAGGTAACTTACTTTTTAGCTGGTTAACAGAGAATTATCTTATGTTAGTTAAGATTTGTTTTCCCTGGGTTAACTCTCCACAAAGGTTGCGCTTAGCTTAAAGTAGAAACTTGGTGACTAACTTACATGATTCATATTCGGAAGAAACATATAATAATAACCTCCTGCAACTGAATTGTCTCTGAATAGTTGGAAGAAAGTGTTGTATTTTGGACCCTTGCTATACTGAGGAAAATAAAATTTTATATTATATGCAAAAAGCTGTAGCACAGACATTGAGGATTCTCCATCTGTTAGTTGCTATATTTAGGGCTTTTAAATTTAGGAATTATTTAGTTAAGGAATTGCCCATTTATATTTTGAAATGTTTTATTTTCAGGAAGTAAACTATTCAAGAAAACGTGAAATGTTTATATTTTATAGTATGCATACATTTTCCTGGATATATTGAACTGCAGTACACCTAATAAGAAAATATATTGACATCCCCCCCCCAAAAAAAACCCCTGTGTTAGCAATTCAGTAATTCTGAAATAAAAATGATCAATTGTTGTTGACAGTGTAATTTTCCTTTATAATATGTGACTAATCACCAAGATAGTATATTAATAAATACAAAGTAACATGAATATTGGATCTAATTCAATCTATGACTTTTTATAAAAAGATATGCATCTTATTTAATTTTAAATTACTTCTATATTTTATTTGAATTACATTAATTTAGAGTAAATATTCTTCACTTTTGAGAAGAGGAATACAGTCTATTATTGGGACATCTCTGTTTGCCTTAAGAATAAAATCCTTAAAAGGTTTTTAATCCAATCCTTGAGTAATTTGTCCTTTTAGATAATCACATGTGACCTATTTATAACCATTAGTTAAACTTAGACCCAAAATACAGGCAATCAGCAGTGTAATTTTGGCAGTTTGACATCCTATTTCCTTTACATTTCTTCAATTTACTAATTTCAGTCAAGAAATTTCATGCCTATGAAATTTAAACTACCTTTACGTTTTAAAATTATTAAAAATTTTAAAATATGTTTCAGACTGTTTTATCTTTTATTCTGAAAAAAGTTTGATCACTTTTAATGTGTTCTTCCCCTATAAATATGTTCGTTTTTGCATGTCTGTAGAAACATGATTGTTTTGATATGTGAATATGTTCATTTTATATTCTGAAAAATGGTTATCTTCATAATGTTAACATAAAAAGTGATTGCAAGAAACAAGCATTCATAACATTACAAATACTGTTACTTTTATTATTTTTCTACTGTAGCAATAGTTACACATTTGATTAAGGGGGCCAGAGAACAAGATTTGAGAAACAAATTACTAAGAAATATATAGATAAATATATAATAAAATACTTCTGCCTATAGGCACTTTGTGCTTCAATACATTTGAGGGGGACAAATAATTAGGCCAGGCCCTTCTTTATATCCAGTGGGAATATTACTTTGGCTTTTATGAAAAAAGTATAATGAATTACAGCAGAATATTTTAGTTGTTTAAATCTTCATTGTGTCTGCATTAACATGATTTATCTTTTTAGCTGTCTTAAGAAAACCTAACATTTTATAAAGTAAATTAGCTTTAAATCAGTTGTATACTTTAATATGGTTCAATACTATAAAATACTGTTAATATTGTGTAAATAGTATGTTTAAATTTTGGTTGGTCTGGGTAAAATATTTGAAACTGTTTTGTTTTCTTAAATTGAAAAATGTATTCTGATGGCTGTTAATAATAGCTTGCAAGTGAATAATCAGTGATTAAATGCGTTCTCATTGCATGGGTTGAGTTTTTATGAGTACATGCAGTGATACAAAATTATCACGATTCCCTTTTTAAGATAAGCAAAAAGTATTAATAATAAGCCAAAGAAATTAAAGACAGATCGTAACAAAATATAGTTAAATCTAGTTTAGAATAGTTATTATACTTCCCAGTGTCCATGCACTGCTTTCTATATTGCCTTTTGTTCTTTAAATTTCTCATATTTTATTCTGAAGATTTCTTCAACTCTATCCAACCACAAAATTCTTCTTTCTGCTGACTCTCTCATTCCTCCTTCATATTGCATTTCTTCCTATAAGGTCAAACTACCTCAGTGTTCATAGTGGTTTATCAGTACCTATTCATTGTTGATGCTCATCTTTCATCTCACAACCTTCTTTGGTAACACATTCCCACTAGACACAATGTTTTGTTAGTCATGACATACCAAAGTATCACTTTCATATTAAAAAAATGAGACACAATTTTAGGATAGTCATAATACCTTATTTCAACAACAACTCAGCTATTCAGAAGACTATCTACTACCTTTCGATCACTATTTGCACATTTTAACATTTCTCCATTTTCCTCTCCTAAATAATCTTTCAAGGTCCACAATTATTTGCTGTATTTTTTGCCATTTATATATCTCTGTATTATTAAAAAAAAACTTGCCCCTATAACCTTTAACTGGTGCATCATAGGGCAAAACTTTTGCCAACAAAGTTACCTCAAGTTAGCTATCTTGTGGAATGCTGGTACTCATTACTCCCAAAGGAATAAAATTTAGGGAAGTTCTACTGAGCTGCTATGGTGACATGATCCTCATTCTCCATTGCATTTTGTACACTTTTTGAAATCCTTCAACAGTTTATAAATGAGACAGTAGGGTATATCATCCATGATTCTATAAAAAGCAGTACTGTATCTGTTTTCCAAAAATATCGGCTTTATTATTCCACTTAATAAACATTACTTTTAGGACTGGTGGAGGAGATATTAATGCTAGTCATTTAACTATATGCTATTTCTTTTCTTGAAGCCAACAAAATATATAGTGTTTAAAACTTTTGAAATACTAGGGCATCAATTTTGTCATTGATTATATTCTATGTGCAGTGTTCAATCAATACACAAAATGCAGTGTTTCTCCCTGTTTAAAATATGGGCAATCTTCCTATTGTTTTTGAAGGTAGTTGATTTCTGTGTTGCCATTTTATGACCAATTCAGAAACAAAGAAGTGAGTTCAGTACTTAGAGATGTGTTTCATCTGGTTATATTTCCTAGCACAAAATGGAAATGAAAGGTTCTGCTATGGTTACTGATAATATTCCTATCATAACTCATAATATTACTATCACAATACTGTGAGAAAACATCTGTGCCTTTTTGAATCTCAAACTTCTATATCTTACTGCTTTATAAAACCATCCTTTTGGGGGATATAACGGACCAAAATAAGAAAAAAGTGGATTGAAAGAAGTAACAGAGCCTATATTCAACTAAAATCCTTAATTGTTTAATTTTTGAAAGGGAAGGGACTCTTCATTGAGAAAAAGGCATTTAAATGGTAGTATTGGATACCAAGCTGTGACAACTGAGAAGACAGTATGATTACAATTCTGGATATACTCACTTCTGATCTAATTGTCTCCAAAAAAGGATGAAGTATATTTGAACACATTTTCTCAATGGCATAAATCTTGTTAAAGAAATTAACTATTTTTAATGAACTTAACATAATCATACTGGACCAATTCTGGACTGGGAACTAGATACGGTATTTCGCATCATATGAAAAGAATATAGAGATTGCAGGAGCATATTGGTGCAAATTTAAAACTGCAAATGGGCAGTGACTCCCCTCCCGTTCAAAAATCAAACAAGGATTTTAGCTGTATGTAGGATGTGTTCTTTCAATCCACTTACATTAGAATTTAAAAGTTCTTTCTCAGATGTTTTAGTAGATAGCTAGACTAGATGGGACAGAAGATTTTTTTTAATGTATTTTACTAAAGAAACAAATACTTCAAGAATGAAGATATCACCAGAAGATTTTTGAATGAAACAACGTCCAAAGATGGCACTAAGGTCTTTCCTTCAACATACATTTTGTGAAGGATTAATTGTATTCAGTACAATTAATAGCAAATTCTGAAATGTAGTTGTTTCAATCATTGTCTTAATATTATTCCAGACATGGATATGATATTGTCACGTGTATTTAAGTCTCATTAAGATTTATAATTGGTGTATTTTAACACATTGGTACAAGATTAGGAAAACCCAGGGTAATTTGGGATAATCATTCCAGACCTTCCTACTTTGCAAGAATGTTTGCTATTGTGAATAAAATAAACTCCCAATACAAGCCACCTTGAGCTGCTGAATAAAAGGTGGATAACAATATTTTAAAAAGTGAACATGTCCTGCAGCTTTTACTGCTGGTGACTACTGGATACTCCCAGAGCATTCTTGGCAAGAATCACTTTTCCAAGGCCTTGAAGGATGTTCCTCAATTTCCCCATCAAATCAGATTTTGATTCCCTGTTAATCTTCGTTCCCTATCCAGACTAGGCTGCATCTATCACAACCATGACCTAGATGACTGGGAATCTCCATAGACATTTAAGCTGCACCTAGTTGCCTTCTCTTATCCCCACCTGCTGCTTAATGAAAATACGCCGTGTTTCAATGTTCATTCCTCCCGTTTTAGAAAGAAATAGCCCTCGGGGTCCCTGATTTTTTTTTTTAGGTCTTCCACAGTTTATTGAAGTTCTAGACAATGCTGTTTTAAGACTCTCAAGGGCATCCTCCGAGATCACGTGAACGTGGGAAAGAGCCTTCGTTCACATCCTAGAGAGCTGTGGCCGTCGCCAAGGAGGGGGAGACCCACAGCCTACTTGGATGCCGATCCTCTCGGCTAAAACAGCCTCGGACTATCCGGCGCGGCTGTCTTGCCCTCGCAATCCCCGGGGGACACAAGGCCGGCGAAGAAGCCAGCCCGGCTCAGCCCACTCCCGTCCTCCCCATTGCGCTTCCCCAGCAGCGCGGCTTGGCTTCCGGAGGGCCGAGCCACCCCACGCTGGCTCCTCCTTCCGCAGCTGCCATCGGGGCTCCCTCTCTGCCGGCCTGCCTGCCTGCCTTCTTTCCTCGCGGGGGAAGGAGAGTCTGGGTCGCGTCCGAAGAAGCTCAGGAGAGGCGGCCGCTAGGAGCTCGGCGAGGTGTCTCTGGTCCCTTTGCTCGCCTTGCGCGCTTTTCCCATCGCGGTCGGGGTTGGAGAGTTTTGGCCCGTCCCAGTGTAAGTGTGAATCTCCCGGGACGGGCGCTTGGGATTTTCCCGCCTTTCACCTGCGGGGGCTCTTCTGGAGGTCCCATTCGTCCTCTCGGGCATTTGCAATGGGGAACGGAGCTTTCGATCCATGCCAGCCGTGGAAGAAAACAAAAGATCTCTTATTGGGCACTTCTCCTTTTGTAAGATGAGGCCGGCAGGAAATCCCATTCATCTCAAGCCAGAATATTTGCAAGATCAAAATAAGAGATCTCTCTCCCAGATCTCCCTAAAGAGCATTGTTGATTTCAGGGGTTGAGATTTTTATTCTTTTTGTTACCAGAAAAATGCCTTCCTGAACAAATTTTCCTGGTGTCTTCTTGCTCTCTTTTAAATATCCTCAGAAAACTTACCTGCCCCGTGAAACTGTAATCACCACTGTTTTCATTATCATACTCTTCCCAAACTGATGGCCCAAATATCTTGGATTACAGACTTCCCTTTTTACCCATCAGGATCTGTCCTAGGAATATAACTAAAGATCCATATGTGGGGTTTTGTATACTCAGGCTTCAGTTATCCCCCTTCCTCTGTTGTCTTTGGAAACTTGGCTCTAATTCATGGAAACCTTTCTCCTTCTGCTCTCCAATTCTGCAGTGCTAACTTTTGAATGGTTTATTCTTGTGGTTTTTGTGCATTATTCCCTGTGCCATATTTTGAATTTACATTTTAGAATTTGATATGAGGAAAAAAAATAAAGTGAGATATTGTTCAAGTGAATAGAACAATATAAGATAGTTTCAGCTACATGTGGTTAAACTGGGGTCACCTAACTGTTAGAGTTTGGGAACTACAACAATATAGCAAAGGCTTTAAGAAAAATGTTAGAAGAAGTCAAAAGCATGACTTTTAAATTTGGAGATAGCTGTAGACATGAGGAACATTGAGGAAGAAAGGAGACAATTTCTGTTTCCCTAATAATACCATCTTGGAGATGAAATAAATGTCGCATTGAGGAAAAAACAGTCTGCGGCAAGGTTCAGAATATGGTTGGTTTGGTTTTGTACAATTTGTGAACTCAACTTTTTTTGTTTATGACACAGGATTTGGGGACGAATCCCTCTATTTCACCGAATGGATTATTAAGTAAACCACAATTTTGGCTCCCCAGTTTTGTCTCTGCACCAGAGAAAAGTAACCCGCCTCTTTCTAGACAGTGTGTAAAGCAGTGTATGGACCTAAAAAGGATAGAAAGGTATGTTACTGCTCATTAGATTCAAGTCTGTTTTCTTTTTCTTTTTCATATTTCACATCTTGAATAATTTTTACTTACTATTTCTAATTCCTTTCTACATTTTGCACAACCATTTCTTAACCTGAAAGGGCATAGAGGTAATGGGGATGGATGGATGGCTGTCTAATTTTTCTAAAAATTAAGAAAATAGGAATGCTGATGATTGGTTGGCTTCCTATTCCATTCCACTTCTCTCCCTGCAAACCCATCTCTAAGACGAGAAAACCCAAAAGATAGAATTAGAATTGTAAAATGGCCAGTTTGAAATATGGGGTCAACATCTGAATAACTGCGGGCTAGTTGAATTTCATGCTTTAAAAAAGTGAAACAGTAATTTCCTGCATATTTTACATTATGCTATGGAATAGAAATCAGTTGTTAAATTTCTAGGATTTACAAATCAAGTTAGGCTAAATCTAGATAAGTTTTTTGTTGGTTGAGTTTATACAACATGTCAAGCCCAAGCCAAAAAAATCACTTCATTATATACCAGTACTATGATGTGACCTCTATACAGTATATTGGACTATAATATTTATTTAATAATTATAATTGTATAATTACAATAAACCCTGAGCTTAATAGACTAAGAGAAGACTTGTTTATAAAGGCAGACTGTTAATTGTTTAATTATGCAATCAAATAAAATAATTTTTATAAATATTTCAATGTATGTATTTTGTAAATACTTAAAATAGTAGTTGAGATTTGTGCATGAACAAAACCATATTAGTTTTGTATCTAAAATTTAATAAAACAAAATTTACTATATTAATAATGCTTATTAACACATTTTTTGATTATTCAAAAGTACAGATAATCCTCGATTTACCTCTGTAATTGCACCCAGAATTATAGTTGTAAGTTGTGCAGGCCTGATTTTATGACCTTCTTTGCAATAGTTGTTATGTAGATCACTGGTCGTTAAACTAACACCATGGTTGTTAAGCAATTCCATTGCTGCAGGCTTTTTTGCCAGGAACACTGGTTTCTGGCAAAAAAAAAAAAAAGGTCATGTGAATGTGAGGATTTTGCAGATGGACATAAATACAGACTGGTTGCTGAGTGCCTGAAATGTGGTTGTGGGGAGCCCTGGTCAAGGGGCCTTCAAATCCAGGTTGTAAGTATGCTTGGAGGGCGTTCCATTGGAACTCTGAAAGATTGTTAAACATCCAATCATTACTGCATAAATACAGGTAGCCCTTGAGTTACAACCATTCATTTAGAAACCATTCAAAGTTAAATGGAACTGAAAAAAATGACTTATGGTCCATATTCACACTCACATTCATCGTAGCATCTCCATGGTAACACGATCAAAATTTGGGCAATTGGCAACTGGCGATATTTATCATAGTTGCACTGTCCTGGGGTGATATGACCACCATTTGCAACCCTGCCAGTTGGCTTCTGACAATGTCAATGGGGAAAGCCACATTCACTTAATGACCTCATTCCAGTTCTTTCACTAAAGAACTGGAATGATTCACTTAACAACTATGGGGAAAAGGTCATTAAAATGGGGCAAACTCACTTAACAACTGCCTTGCTTAGCAATGCAAATCTTGGGTTCAATGGTGGTCATAGGTTGAGGCTTATGTATATGCTGCACACTTTATATATTAGTGCATACATCAATTAAATGATTTTATTGCTTTTGTTCCTTTTTTAATCCAGCATTTAGTTTAGTGCACTCATTAACTCCATCTGCTTATTTTAGCTGTCATGCATTTTTTTCTCATCCAATGTGTTAAGGTTATTGACAGTTACCTCTGAAAGTTTATGTAGTCATACTGTAATCACAACCTAGGTATTATATTAATTATGTCTGCTGTAGGCAAACACCTTTTGTACATCAGATTTTCACACTTAGTGGTGAGCAAAAACTAAAATACAAGAGCCAGTGTTATTACACAAGTATTTTTCTCCATATTACTAATACTAGTCTATGTCACTTGGGTGACATATAAATTCAAATAAACAAGATTTTTCTTAAAAAAATAATAATAATACAAAGTTAGTAACACCACCTAAAAGATGCAAAGATGCATGTGTATTCATGAACATAATTCCGGATACTGTTTTGTGTGGAGTTTGTATCAGATCTGATTCCTCCTCATGTCTTAAAGAAACTTCTTGCAATCGAGTTTGACTCCCTTCCTTAACTATAAGGCTAAATGTACAAGTTTTTTTCCAATACACACATTCAGCCCTATTTTCACAGAAACAAGATAGGCATTTTATGAAATTTAATGCACTGTCTTATCAGATGTTTCTGTACTATGTTTATTTTGATTTCCATTCTTTTTTAGAAGCAGAGAAAATATAACTCTTGGGAAACCTACATAGTTTCTCCTGTCTGATTCCCAAGAATCTCTTGGGGATGACAGATTTCTCTTACTCATTGGTTTAGTATCTATAATATTAATAGTATGCCAGTGTCAAGAATTTTTTTGTGTCAGGGAATATAACTGCATGAGTTTAAAAATAAATGCTTAAAGACTGGTGAATTGTTGTTCTACATCCCATGAATCTTTGGTGTATTTACTTTAGGTTTTTCCCACTGCCATGTTAATACTGCTTACACTGGGAGCTCTTTTTCCAAAAATAGTAGCCAGGGGAACAGATGAACATCTTCACAATGGCAGCAACATTTTGCAAGAGCCAAGGTATCCTTATGAAAGCATCATGTTGTCAGAAGAACACATCCCATATTTTTTACACAATAATCCAGGCATCGCCACTGCTTGCAGGCAAGATTCTCTTTGCCCATATAAAGTAAGTATTCCTTTTGCTAACCTAATGTTTCAGTCTTAGAATCGTATCAGTTAAAAGTGATGAAAACATTAGATGAATTCCAATCAGTTTTTAGCTTCGGTGGTAGAATCATTGTCACTGAAGATGCTAAGTAGATAGTGGATTCTTATTTCTCGATGAATAGGAAAACAATAGGGATACATGGGTATTGTTCACAATGGAGGAATATGCAAAGTGGGCTATAATACCCTTCCCCTTGGGATTTGCCAATACCCCTCTCTCTTGGCCTTCCAGAAAGATGTAAAAAGCTGGTTCTTTCTCCATAAAGTGAAGTTGGAACTTGGGAAATAACACATTGGAGGAGGTGGGTGGAGGCCCCAAATTTTTGCTTTTTTCTTCATTTTGTTTTGTTTTATTGCTATTGCGAACCTGTCAGAATTGTTTTTTTAAAGATGAGTAGCCATCTTATGTGTTGATATAAACATAACAATGATATAATGCATGGCTGGTGGCACTGAGTAATACGTTTACTCTGTTATATGTATTTATTTACTTACATATAAGAACATACTTCCCTGACCTTCAGATTGTAACATCCAGAATGCCCAGCTAGAATGAATTTATAAGAGAGTTTGAAAGGCTATATTAGAGTGCTGTTTCTTTCTTTTGTAGTCTGGTGGGTATGAATTTAGAAATGATGTGTTCATAGTTTTTTTTGAAAGCAATGAATATAAAACATATGCAGTGCTGATTTTTTAAAATTTTTTGCTTTGAACCTTATCTGAGGATTTCAGTGGAATTTTTTTAAAAATGTTGAATCGTCTTTTTCCAAAACAGAAACTGGCCATCTTAATTGCACGGTTAAGTAAGTTAACTTTTATTGCATCATTTTAACAGTAGTTCTGTATTGACAGAAACATTTGAAGAAATTGAAAGCTTGTTGGGGTTATGAGAAATCCTGCAAGCCAGAAAACAGGTTTGGATATCCAACATGTGATTATGCTGAAATTGGATGGTAAGTATGAAGAAAAATGTATTGAAATAAAATTTCAAGTGAAATTCAGTGCTTAGATATTATGGACCTACTGAACTCCTGAACACATATCAAGAGTATTCTTGCGAAATAGCTACTATTGGGTGCTTGTGCATTTAGACAGTGTCTGCCAGGATGCCCTATGTTGATATGGATGCTTTTAAAACTTGTTTTTTTTTAAATAAATAAATGTGAGATTCTTGATTTTTGAAAAAACAACAACATTTGAATTAGAAAGTTCCATTTTAGCTGAGATTTGTAATGTGGAGATCTCTGCCTTTAAGGTAAACCTCTGCAGAGGTTTAGCAATAGGGATTCTTAAATTAGATGGATTTGAAAGGGTCTGTTGAATGACTGTTCCTGCGTATTTGCAAAACTTTTATACAGAAAAATGAAAGATAGAATGTTCATGAAACAACAAATTTTTTAAAAGCACAGGTGGCTGGGGAAAGACTGCAGGTAAACCCTCTTCCCCTTGCATTGGTGTATTGAACGTACACAGGCCAGAAAAAAAAAATCTGAATTACAGATGGTCCTTGACTTATTACCACAATTGAACCTAAAATTTCAGCTGCAAAGCAAGACAGTTGTTCAGAGAGTTTTGCCCTATTTTATGACCTCACTTGACACCGTTGTTAATCAAATCGTTGCAGCTGTTAAGTGAATCTGGCTTCCCCATTGCCTTTGCTTCTCAGACGGCCGCAAAAGATGATCACATGATCCCAGGACATACATGCCAATTGCCAAGCATCCAAATTTTGTAACCATGGGGGTGCTGCGACAGTCATAAGTGTGGGAAAACGGTCATAAGTCACTTCTTCCAGTGCCGTTGTAACTTTGAACGGTTATAAGTCGAGGACTACCTGTGGCTGGGAAGGAAAACTTACTAGTTTGCTGGCAGGAAATGGGTAATGAAGAAACGAGTATGGCCACAGAAGACTCGAAAGCATTAAAATGGTGTTGATAAAAAGGACAGATAGAATAATGGCAAGGAGACTAGAACTGGGCCGTTTTATCTCAGTCCCTTCCCTGCTTCGTTTATTGCATCGTTTCTGTTCTTCGCTTTCATCCTTCAGCGGAAATGAGGAAAAACTCTTGGATATAAAAAGACAGGGGAAGCTTCATTTTATGAATAGATCATTTCCTAATTCACATGAACAAATTGTTTTTAAAAGTTCCCATGAAGGGAAGTGAGGCCAGTCCAAACAAATCCAGGAAGTGGGACCAGTCCATGCAAATCAGTGGCAGAATTCAGATTGTGATCGGGGCAGCAATATGCCCATAAATAGGTCTGCAAGCTAGTATCTTGTACTTGTTAAGTTAGAGAAGGATCTTATTTTGCTTGTAATCTTTAGAAAATTAGGTTGCTGAGGAAAGTAGTCTATTGTCCCCATATAGAAGGATAAGAGCTTTATAAGTGCCTTGCAGTGTTCTACATAGTGAAGACTGAAAGTCAGGCCATCTTATAGGCATGGAACTAGGCATATACATACACACAGTTCGCCAATCTGGGACCACAGCTCTATAGATTATGTATTTGGTAGTTCCTAGAAGTAAATTCTTTACCTCTGAAGAAGTCTGAGGCATTCCAGGGTCTTCCAATCCTGAAGGAGAAAATCTTGCACTTGGACCACCTCAAATTGATGCAGAAGATTGACTTCAAGAAACAACTGAATTCTCCCTCTCCTCCCTAGGACGTCATGGAATTGAAGAGATTCATCACAGTTCAGAACAAAAAGAAATGTTTCAGATAGAAATGGAATTGTTCTTGGATCGTTTTCTTTTAACAATAATTCCTTAACATAGCCCAATATGTTGCTGGCTTTATGAAAATTGTAATCCACGCTGGAAAAAACTGCATCTGCCACCTTTCTCTGTTATTTAACTTCTTTTATTTCCCCTGGATCTGTTCCAGAACGGGAAGGAGAACAGCAAAGGCGAATATTTTTGCTCTTGGATAATGTTAGATACATTCCCATGATCTGTAGCCAAGAAATTCTTCATAATTTTCAACAAAGATCATTCTATTTAAATTGGCCACTTACTGCTTCCCTTAGGTCAACTCCAACACTAAACTTTCTCGTGTTTATTTTATTTTTAAATATCCGGTGATGCATATATGCGTTCCAAAATCTGAGGAAGGATAGTCATTGTTTGGGGGTAGCTTTCAAACTTTCTGATTTGTTCCACAAATATATATTAGAGAGATAAAGCAACTATTGCATATTAGGGGTCTAGCTTGTAGAGTAAAATAATTTAGCAATCTGAAATCCATACCATTTAATCTCTAGTAAAAAGTTGACCAGAAAAGACTCTTAATACTGGAAAAGATGGATGAAAAGAGAAGAAGATAATCAGCAGCAGGGTGGACGGACTCAGTTACACTGGAGAGACATGATAGCAGCGCCCCAATATTTGAGGGTCTACCACAGAGAGGAGGGGGTCAAACTATTTTCTAAAGTACCTGTAGGCCAGACAAGGAATAATGGATGGAAACTGAACAAGGAGAGATTCAACCTGGAAATAAGGAGAAGTTTTCTGACAGTGAGAGCAGTCAACCAATGGGACAGCTTGCCTTCAGAAGTTGTGGGAGCTTCAGGCTGGACTGCCACCTGTCAGAAATGGTGTAGGGTCTCCTGCTTGGACGGGAGGTAGATTAGATGACTTACAAGGTCCCTTCCAACTCTGTTAATCTGTATTTAGTGGTAAGTCACATCAAAGATCAGAAAGACCAAATTAGGGATAGATCGTCATGGAGAAGATTTATCTGTGTGATTGCTAGGTGTCAAAAACAACTTGATGGCACATAATCAGTCACCAGATACAGATTAACAGAGTTAGAAGGGACCTTGTAGGTCATCTAGTCCAACCCGCCACCCAAGCAGGAGACCCTACACCATTTCTGACAGATGGCAGTCTAGTCTCTTCTTGAAAGCCTCCAGTGAGTTCCCACAGATCAAATAGCTGGCCATCATTGTCTCAATTTGGTAGCTGAGCAAACTTGGACTTTTGTAATATCAGTCTAGAATCCTGAGGTCGTAACTCAAAAAACATCTCAAAAGAAAAAATAAAACATACAGAAACTACATATTATTGCCAAAACCCTGCATGTTTGTGTGAGACAGGCATCATGAATTTATCCTTTTTAAGAAAGAGTTTGTTTACCTTTTTGTTTTAATGAAGGTATCCCGTCCATAAGTGTTATTTTTTCTGCCTAGAGGGAGAACAGTTGCAAACAATGTCCTTTTCATTGCTTCACTAATTTAGGGCATTGTTTATAAGATTATGCAGTAGAACCTAGCAGTCTGTAGCCTGAGGTTCTGCTGTAGTTCATTTTTGTCAAAAGAGATTCCTTTCTTTTGTTTTGTATGCCAGGGCTAATACCATTGAGCAGGCCCAGGATATTTTCTGGAAGCAAGCTGATTTTGGTTACGTTAAAGAAAAGATGAAAAACGTGAAGACTCATTGCAAGCCTAAGAATGCGGTAGGCATATTTATTTTCATTTTTCTTTACAAAGAATATAGGCCACTCTAATCAACTGAGTGGTATAAAATTCCCCAGATTTCTAATTTGGGATTAAAGAGGGCTAGTCAGATTTTAAAACTAAAACCATTCATTTAAAAAAGAAGGCTATATGTAATGTGGGAATTAATACTCAAAATACAGTATAATAAAACTAATTCATCCTCTAGTACTACAAGAACCTGGCCTCCGAGTCTTGGTGAAATAACCAATCTTCACCAACTTTCTAAAAACCATGTGTGTGTGTGTGTGTGTGTGTGTGTGTCAAACATCTGGGGGATGCTTATCTCAATTCTCAGCAACTGAGAAGTCATGTGTCCACAGCCCAAATAGGAACAATGTCTAATCAAGGGATTATGAAATCCTTCCATCTAGAGCAGGGGTGTCCAACCTTGGCAACTTTAAGACTTGTGGACTTCAACTCCCAGAATTCCTCGGCCAGCTTGCTGGCTGAGGAATTCTGGGAGTTGAAGTCCACAAGTCTTAAAGTTGCCAAGGTTGGACACCCCTGATCTAGAACAATGTTTCCCAACCTTGGCAACCTGAAGAAGTATGTGGACTTCAACTCCCAGAATTCCCCACCTCAGCACTCTAAAATCCACATATTTTCAAGTTGCCCAGGTTGAGAAACACTGATCCAGATTGGAATGAATCAGGAGGGAATAGTCGCGCGGTTAGGTAGTTCTCCATTTACAACCATTTGTGTAATCATGGTTCAGGATTATGGGAAGTCTTGAAAAAATGACTTATGACCAACACTGTCACTGAAACTGTTGTATCCCTTTCACGGTTCTGGGATCACAATTTGGGCCTTTGGCAACTGTCACATTTATCACTGGTTGCGGTATCCTTCAGTCCCGTGATTATTATTTGCGAACCTTTTTGTCAACTTTGCCAGAACATGTCTATTAGGGAAGATGGATTCACAACCACAGTGATTTGTTTAATGACCGTCATAAAAATTATCATAGAATCAGGTCCAACTTGACTTACAACTGCAAAGACTTATGACGGAAATTCTGGTTGCAACTGCAGTGATAAGTTGAGGACATCCTGCATCCAGGTCTTGAACCCTGAAGCGTTTCTTGAACCCTGAAACATTACAGCCAGCATGTTGAATAACAAAAGGTTGTGATTTGTTTACAAGATGGAAGTGTGCAAAGGCTGTGCAACACTTTGGATTCAAAAACAAAAACGTCTCATGGGACATGGGAGCAGGGAACATTTGCAGTCACTACCACCTCAGCCCCAATGAATGACCTTTTTAATATTCAATTCCATGGTGCTGCAGATTTTTGATTCGGTTAAAATAATTCATTTTCGCTTGTCAGCCAGCTGCATGATAGTAACCTACAGATCTCTTATGTCGTTTTCTTTCAGGGAGATTCTTCACTTGAATGTTCCCGTTACCTTCAGTATTGCAAAGCAACAAATTTGTATATTGATTTAAGGCATCCAGAAAGAAACCATGATAGGTTTGTGCCATCTTCGTATTTCATAATTATTCGATAATCCTGTTTAAGGAATTGCATTCTGAGTTTAAGGCGCTTGGCCATGTGGCAAAATTTTACTGTTTTTCTTCTTTTATTTCCACTTATTAATAGATCAATATTGGGATACAGAAATCTACAGCGTTTAACAGAGGGTTTTACTGATTTTCATAGCTGTAGAGAAAAGCTTGAAGAATGAATTACTGTAAGAAGCTTAAAGGATCAGAAATAATCTACTGTGTTTCCATGGGGGAACAGATTGTGCTTAGTCACCTTTATCAGTCTAGGATCTTATCTGACACCCTCAACCACTGCTTCTTATAAGAAATTGCCTTAGATCAGATTAGATTTGTGGGCTATCTACCTCACTAATGTCAACACTGACTGGTAATATTTTCAAGAAGTTCAGACTCTAAGAATCTTGGAAGTTTTCAGCGATTCAACCTCTTCATGTCCAGCTGCGTAAGCTGCCCAGAATCCCTTTTTGTGAGATACAAATTTGCTAAAGAACTAAAGCTCACACTCTTCCATTAAATTGTAACCATGTTCTATAGAATGTTGGTTTCTAATGAGCAAAACAGAATTGTCAGAATCAGAATAGAACTAGAAGGGACCTTGAGGTCTTCTAGTCCTGCTCAAGCAGGAGACCCCTATACAATTTTAAACAAATGACTGTCCAGCCTCTTCTTAAAAACCTCCAGTGATGAAGCGCCCACAACTTCTGACTGCAAGCTGTTCCACTGGTTAATTGTCCTCTCTATTAGGAAGTTTCTCCTTAATTCTGGGTTGCTTCTCTCTTTGATTAGTTTCCATCCATTGTTTCTTGTCCTGCCCTCTCGTCTTTTGGAAAATAAATTGACTGCCTCCTGTTTGTGGCAATCTCTCAAATACTGGAATACTGCTATCATGTCCCCACTAGTCCTTCTTTTCTCTAGACTAGCCAAACCCAAAATCCTCCAACCGTTCTTCGTATGTCTTAGTCTCCGTGGAGGCCTTTAATCATCTTAGTTGTTCTTTGCACTTTTTCCAAATGTCAACATCTTTTTTATAATTTGGTGACCAAAACTGGATGCAGTATTCCAGGTGTGGCCTTACTAAGGCATTATAAAGCAGTACTAATACTTTACTGTTCTCAATGCACTGTGAGCATTGTAAATTTTGAAAGGGCCAAATAAATAAATAAATACATTTTTTTGCATGTAGTGGTTCTTACAACTCTCCCTTCTTCAAATAAACTTTCTAACTTGATAATTTGAGAAGGCTTCTGCTGTAGGGAACAATTGTCAGCTTTAAGATAGAGACTTTCAAGTACATATGTTGGAAGTACAGGAATAAATCATAAACTGGAGGTTTACAATAACAGCAACCAAGGTGGGATTTTCATACCACTGTTAAGCTTTGCGTTTGCACCAAAGTAATTTCTCTTTATCATCTACTGGAGTTTCTTTGAATCTGTGAAACATCTGTATAACTCTTCTTGAGATATAATAAACCAAAGCCCGTGGAGGCTATATCTTCAGTGATCCATTTGGAGAGAAAGGAATTGCTCAGGATTCCTTATGTGTTGGGTTGTACATGGAAATATAGTACCTGAACCAGCTAACGACCCCTTAGAATTCTTGTGTGTCATAAAAAAAGAAAAATGTTTTTGTATATTACTTGAAATGAACCAGATTTTTTTCCCTTATGATCTGTTTTATGATTCTAGCACATTAAAAAAAAGCTTTCATGGCTCACCCTAAGACAAAACATTTTCTAAATTTCAAAAATGAGCTCTTTTATTTGGCTTTTAATTTTTAAATCCTGTTTCCACTTTCTTTCCTTCCCTGGTTAGATTTAATGAAGATTTCTTCAAGAAAGATCAAATAGGTGGCCACTGCAGTATGAATACTGAAGTTTTCCTTGCTGAAGGTCAACAAAAGAGTCCTTTGCAATCTTGGTAAGTCTTGTAAGTATGTTATTTTATTTCTTCACAATATCTTGGCAGAATAGACATCTTGGGTGTTCCTTTTCTGTTCCAGTAATCATGACTGAGCTATAGCAATAGCCCTTAGACTTATATACTGTTTCATAGTGCTCTGTAGCACACTCAAAGTGGTTTATAGAATTAGCATATTTTCCTCAACAATCTGGGTCCTCATTTTACCTATCTCAGAAGGATGGAAGGCTGATGGAGTCAACCTTGAGCCAGTCAGATTGAACTCCTGGCTGTGGGCAGAGTCAGCCTGCAATACTGCATTCTAACCACTATGCTAAAAAGTTCAAAGAAGAGCAACTAAGATGATCCAAGGCCTGGAGACTGAAACATACGAAGAGTGGCTGCAGGATTTGGGTTTGGCTAGTCTAAAGAAAAGAAGAATTGGGGTGACATGATAACAATAGTCCAGTACTTGAGGGGCTGCCACAAAGAAGACGGGGTCAAATTATTCTCCAAAGCACCAGAGGGCAGGAGAAGAAGCAATGGATGGAAACTAATCAAAGAGAGAAGCAATCTGGAATTAAGGAGAAACTTCCTAACAGTGAGGACTATTAACCAGTGGAACAGCTTGACTCTAGAAATCATGGGCTCTTCATCACTGGATGTTTTTAAGAAGAGACTCTCGACAGTCACTTATCTGAAATAGTATAGGTTCTCCTGCTTGAGCAGAGGGCTGGACTAGAAGACCTCCAAGGTCCCTTCTACTCTACTCTGCTCTGCTCTACTCTACTCTACTCTACTCTACTCTACTCTACTCTACTCTACTCTACTCTACTCTAGCACGTTGTAAGATAGTTTTTCCCAACTTTTTTCAGCTGGTGTTTACTTTTGGAATATTGAGAGCATGCTCAAGCTATGCTCAGAAACTGTGTCTCCGGAGAGTGGGGGGAATTTGCTTATTTACCAAATAGTTGCTATTAGGACTTCGGCTTGCTAGAAAAATTCTCTTGTCAAAAGACAAAACTGATGAAGATGCTTCCCACTACTTATCCTAGCTTTTAGCACACACTCTTTTTTGGGGAGGAATAGGTCAAATATGCTGGTAAACACAGCACCAAACTGCAGTTACCTACAATTTTTATTTTCAAAGCACATCCACAGAGACAATATGGGAGCAATAATTTATTTATTTAGAAAACGTCTATGGCTGCCCCCTTTACATACATAAACCTAGGCAGTTTATTAAAGCTACATTTAAAAAGCCTGCAATCAAACATAAATATAATAGAAACAATCCAATGCAAAAAGAAAGTGAGCCGCCATGTAAGTAGACTTACAATGTAAACCTATGTATTATAAGCTCCTCTAACATCCAGACTAATCAAGAAACTAATCAAGGAGAAAAGCAACCTAGAACCAAGGAGAAATTTCCTTGAGAGTTAGAACAATTAATCAGTGGAACAACTTGCCTCCAGAAGCTGTAAATGCTCCGACATTTGAAGTTTTTAAGAAGAGACTGGATAACCATTTGTCTGAAGGCGGTGTAGGGTTTCTGCTTGAGCAAGGGGTTGGACTAGAAGACCTCCAAGGTCCCTTCCAACTTGTTATTCTATTACTTAATGCCTGGGGAAATTAGCCAAGTCTTAATGGCCTTTCAAAAGGCTAAGAAGGTTGGTGTCTTCTGAATCTCAGAAGGGAGGCTATTCCAGAGGACAGGCATTGTACAAAGTAGCAAATTTCCTTAGTCCTGAGAGATGATCCTGTTTAATGAAAGGGACCTGGAGGTACCCTGTTGTAAGTCACCCTTAACAGCAAAAGCTGATAATTCCTCCTGGCAACTTGCTCATGCTAGACTGTTCTATGGATCCTGCTAATTTGACTCAAATTCTCTCTTAGGTAACTGCAGTCACTAATAACTATGTCTTTGCTGATATGTTTTGAAATTCATGGTAAACACATTTGACATGAATCTTCCAATTAGCTAGATCTATGAAAGTTGGATAGCGGGAATACTCTCTCTACGTTTCCCAACCCTTAATTTATAGATCAAAGACGTTGCACAAGTCTGAATTCAAAGCAGAGCTTAACCTTTTGAAGCCTTTTAGAAGAGGCTTCAGTTACAATTAAAAATAATTTCAATTGTCAAATTTGGTAAAACTTCACCAACAGTAACAGAAAGTGTATGTGTTGTATTGCTTAAAAATCAGCCTGGAATACATTTTCGAAGCCTAATTTAAATGGTGGTAATTAGAATAGAATTGATAATAGGCTAGAACAAGGGTGTCAAACTCAAGGCCCAAGTGCTTACATCTGGCCCACAGGGCCACCCTGGAAACAGAGAAGGACTGGCCCGCGGTGCCTCTGCCAGTGAAAATGGAGCCTGGGTGGGGGGCACTGGCAGAGGGCTGCGGGAGGCCGTCATGGTCGATAATGGGGCCCAGGAGGGCTGTGTGCGGCATCCCTGAGCTCCATTTTTGCTGGCAAAGGGCTGCAGGAAGCCATCATGGCTGAAAACAGCTCAGAAGCCAGTTTTTGCTGGTAGAGCATTTGGGTTGCCACAGGCAACCCTGACAGGAGTGATGTCAAGCTGGCCATACCCCCCGAGGTCAAACACAACCCTGATGCGGCCCTCAATGAAATTGATTTTGACACCCCTGGACTGGAATAATTTGATTGTCACTTTCAATGTACACTAATCGGCATACATTAAAATGAAATTTGTTGCATACAGCTCTCAAAGGGTCACCACCTCCAATATACACTACATAAACTTGACTAAATAAATAAATAAATAAGCAAGCAAGCAAGCATATACCCACATATATTATATGACACTGAGAGAAACAACACAGTCTAGCTTGGATGTTTACATGTACATAGTGAGAAAAACGAATTTTGCGAATTTATCAGAGGGCATAGGGAACAAAGCTGTTACAGAATCTGGAAATCCTGCTAGAAATACTCTGAAACCTCCTCCCAGAGGGGAGTAACAGAAACAGACTGTAAAGTGGGTATGTGGGGTCTCTGACAATGCTTTGAGCTCTAAGCACATAGCGCTTATAAGCAGTATCCTGAATGACAGCAACTGAGCTTCCTATAATCTTCTCGGCTGTCCTTACCACTCTCTGTAGGGACTTTCTATCTGAGGCACTGCTGCCCCCAAACCAATGATGCAGTTTGTTAAAATGCTCTCGATTGTGCCTCTGTAAAAAATGGCCAGGACAGAAGGAGAAAGAAGTGCTCTCCTCATCTGATGTAGGAAATGCAGACTGGTTTGCACGCTTCACTTTACAGGTTTGCTGAACTCCAGACGTATGCAGAGATGAGCTCCAGACCATTGGAAGATGGTAGCTGTGATATCATTGTTGAGAAGCCAACTTATTTCATGAAGCTTGATGCAGGTACAAGGTATTTCAATATTTTCAAGTTCCAAAGTGTAACCTCATTTCTCTATATTGGTAAGAGAGTCTCCATTTCTGTAAACATTAGGAGGCAGTAATTATAAGCTGCACGAAGTCCTTGAGTTATAACTGGTTGTATAATGACCATTCAAAATTACAGTGGACTTGAAAAAAGTTACTTTTGACCTATCCTTGAAGTTATGACTACTGTACCACTCCGCTGTCATATGATTGTATTTCATGTGCTTATCAACTTGCTTGCGCTTGAAGCTTCCCATGGTCACAGGTTCACATTTTGTGACCTTTTTTTTTTGCTGTTTATTGGCAAGAAATGCCTTTTGGATGACCTGCATTCAGACTTACAACCATGTGATTTGGTTAACAACCACAGCAACTCACATAATGGCCATCATGAAAACAGTTGTAAAATTGACGTCTGTTATGACCACAATGATTTACTGACTAAAGTTCCAGGCTTAATTGTGGTCGTAAGCCTAGGGCTACCTATACTTTTTAAATATTTAAGTATGAGCCAGGAGTGTGCAGCAGCTGCCAAAAAAAGCCAACACAGTCCTAGGCTGCATAAACAGGGATAGAATGAAGATCACGTGAAGTGTTAATACCACTTTATAATGCCTTGGTAAGACCATACTTGGAATACTGCAGCCAGTTTTGGTTGCCACAATGTAAAAAAGATGTGGATATTCTGGAAAGAGTAAGAGAAGAGCAACAAAGATGATTAGGGGACTGGAGGCTAAAACATGAAGAATGATTGCAGGAACTGTGTATGTCTGGTCTAATGAAAAGAAGGAGTAGGGGAGACATGATAGCAGTGTTCCAATATCTCAGGGGCTGCCACAAAGAAGAGTCAAGCTATTCTCCAAAGCACCTGAGGGCAGGACAAGAAGCAATGGGTGGAAACTCATCAAGGAGAGAAGCAACTTAGAACTAAGGAGAAATTTCTTAATAGTTAGAACAATTAATCAGTGGAACAACTTGCCTCCAGAAGTTGTGAATTATTATTATCAGAGTACAACATGTATACAATGAGATTGACTGAGCCTCCCTTCATGCACACACACGTGTACACCCCAACAATGCTCCAACACTGGAAGCTTTAAAAAAGATGTGGGATAATCATTTGTCTGAAATGCTATAGGGTTTCCTGCCTAAGCAAGGGGTTGGACTAGAAGACCTCCAAGGTCCCTTCTACCTCTGTTGTTCTTTTCTATCTGATTAATCTCTAAAGTTAGTGTTTCTTAACCTTGGTGTATGGATGTCAACTCCCAGAGTTTCCTAGCTAACATGCTGGCTATGGAATTCTGGAAGTTGAAGTCCACATACCTTAAGAGTTGCTAAAGTTGAGAACCATTGATCTAAATGTTATTTGAGCATAAATGCATATGCAATTGTTTAAAGTACTGTTTCTATATAACTGCCAACTCTTATCGTAGTTATGCTCACATTGATATGAACATGCCTTAGTGACCTGATTCACAGATAATGTGAATTAGCAATAGAGAGGTTTGTACTCTCTATAATATATATACTGAGTACACTGAGCCCAAGCTAACAAAGCCTATTACATTTCCATTGCAGTTGTTAAGTGAATTCTGCCCCATTTTACAAACTTTTTTTGGGCCACAGTAAAGTAAATCCTTCTAGATGTGAAAGTGTATCATGCAGTCACTGAACGAGTCTGGTTTCCCCTATGGACTTTTCTTGTTGGGAAGCCAGCTGGGAAGGTTAGAAATGATGATCACATGACCCCAGGATAGTGGAATAGTCATAAATATTTGCCAGTTGCCAGATGCCCAAATTTTGATCGCATGGCCGAAAATAATTCGTTCGTGTGAATTAGGAAATGATTGCTTCACATAAGTGGGGAAAATGGTCATAAGTCACCTTTTTCAGTGCTACTGCAACTTCAAACAGTCAGTAAATGAATGGCTGGAAGTCCTGGGCTATCTTTATAGCTTGGAGTTCAGTGAAATAAGCTGGGCTGAGCAAACGATCATAACTTGATCTTTTTTTACTGAACTCATTAAGGTTTTTTGGCTGTGCGGCTGTGTTTCTACATAAATTCCCCTTCTCTGTACATTTCCCTCTATCAAAATACCGTCCAGAAGTTTGTGATTTACTAGGAAATAAAAACAGTGCAGGGCAAGCAGCATTTTGAAGATGGTGGTGTTCTTTTAACAATAATATAAAATCCTCCAACATTACTGCTCTGATCAAATTAGTAGCTTCTTATGACTGGATTTCATTTAAAACCCATATGCTGCCAATAATAATGAGCTAGTCTCAAAGCTCATCCTTGTTCAGCTTCTTAAATGTGTTTTTAATGGCAACTTCATGAATTAATTAAGTAACTCATTATTTTGTATCTGTATTTTTACCATTGTGGCATGGGTGCACCTATGGAACATAGGTTTTTCCATAAAGTCCTAAGCCTTAGTTGTAAATGACTGTCTATGTAGTTTTAGTTATGCTCACTACAACCAGCTTATTTTTTCTTCCTTCTTTTAGGTGTCAACATGTACCATCATTTTTGTGACTTTGTGAATCTTTATATCACTCAGCATGTTACCAACACCTTCAGCACTGATATCAGCATTGTTATGTGGGATACTGTAAGTAAGATTAGAAAGATAGTTATGGTTAGGTTAGGGCAGGGCAGGGGTGTCAAACTCAAGAACCGGGGGTCAGATCCGGCCTGCGGGGTGCTTAGATCTGGCTCTCGGGGTTGCCCTGGAAACAATAAAGGACCGCTCCGTGATGCCTCTGCCAGTGAAAATAGAGCTCACAAGCAGGGGTGGGATTCTGCCAGTTCAGACCGGTTCAGGTGAACCACTTGCTCCGAAAATCAGCTGGGAGCATACCCGGTCACTCCGACAAGCATATGCTCCCCCCCCCCCGTGCTTTACTGACCTTTATTGTCCCAGCTGATCAGCGCAGAACAGCGGATTGCTGCTCCTCACCTGTGTTACTCCCCTGAAGTAACATAGCATGTAAGGATTTTTGCGTTGGCAGTCACGCGCGTGAAGCACGCGATCACCAAACCGGTAGTTATACCAGCAGCATCCCACCCCTGCTCACAAGGATCGCGTGTGCTGGCAGAGGGCTAACAAACAAACTAAAAGCAAAACTGCCATGCCCCCCTATCCCCTCCCAAGGTCAAACACAACCTTGTTGCAGCCCTCAATGAAATTGAGTTTGACAGTACTGTAATGCGAATTTGTCCTAAGCTATTCTATTTTCAACATTTGTTATAGTATATTTAATTCCTAATATTGCCAGATGATGGCGCCAATGTACTTTTTATCTCACTATAAAGCTGAAGAAGTTTAGGCGTTCTCTTTATGCAGGGCACATTGGTTTAGCTGTTGCAGGTTTACAACCCTTATTTAAAAAAAAAAATTAGTAAAGCTGAACTTACTTTTTTTATTAAGTAAATTTTAACGTGCAACTTTCTGCTCAAATGTCCCAAAGGTGCTTTTTTTTCCAGGAGGCAACTGAACTTTCTTGTTCTTCTTTGAAGACATTTTGCTTCCAATCCAAGAAGCTTCTTTAGAAAATCAAGAAAGTCCAGTTCCCTTGTGAAAAAGCAGGTTTGGGACAACTATGACCTGTCCTGGATGACTGAGAATCTCCATAAACATTTTTCTACTCAAATGTTTGGAAGATTTTAGCTTTTTACTAAAACGTTCAAAGTTTTATGTAAGTGAGATGAAACAGAAATGCGATTTTATTAAAAAAATATCCATGCTTTTAGCATGTTTCTGAACAAATATAAATGACAAACGGTCATTATAAAGAACCTTTGGTAACACATCAATTCAGGTATATGATGGTAGGGTAGTTGCTAGATCAGTTTAGTATCTTCCAGTTGTATTGAACTCTGATCTTTAGTTGGCATTGGCTGTTTTGATGAGCAGACCTCCAATATATTTCCACTCTGTTAAAAAACAACTCATATTTATTAAAATATAATTGCAAACCTATGTGAAAAAATAAAAAATAAAAATCTTAGGTTAAGGTGGCTGGATATGAAATGATGTGAACCTTTTAAAGAATATATTTATTGTACATTATTATTTTGGCTATTAAAATCAGAAAAAGAGCATGGAAGTTGCAGAACAGAACATATTCAGTTATCAGAACATATTGAGCATCTGCACCAATGTCATATTTTTCCTCACACATTTTAGTTGTATTTTTCTTTTGTAATCTTTGGAGGCTACTAATATTTTTATTTTTACCATATCTCTCTATTAATATGTTATCTCTTTTATGCTGAATTATTTTAGAAATTCTTTCTAATCTTATTGTATAAAATGGACACATACAAATTTGGACTTTATTGAGGGAAATCTTACTGGCATTTGTTTGTTTCTTTCAGAGTACATATGGATATGGAGATTTGTTCAGTGAAACATGGAAGGCATTTACGGACTATGAAATAATACATTTGAAATCGTACGATTCAAAAAGAGTATGGAATATTGTATCATTTGTACACTTTACTGTTTTATTTTAAATGTAGTGAAAAAATTGCTTTGTGGCGATTATGTCTAAAATTTTGTAGTTATTAATTTCACTGGTCCTTGGATTTCTGGAGTTGTAATAGTTAAAGCACGGGTGTCAAACTCGCCCTGTCATGTTGCCGTCATGTGATGTTTTGTGACATTTCCCCCATTTGCAGAGTTGGGGTGGGTGTGGCCTATGCGTGACGCATCCAGCCCACGGGCCGCCAGTCTGACACCCCTGAGTTAAAGTAAAGATAAGAATTTGTCTTTTGGCAACTGACTCAGCTGTATAAACCAGGAAGTCAACTTACTTGGATTTGAATGAATCAAGGAGCTACATTATAGTTTAATGTAAGCTAGGAATGAATCCCAAAAGACAGGAAGGGAAGGAAAGGGAAGTATAATAGTCCCTCCCAGTTCCACAAAACATATGAAACTTGAAAAGATTATTTAATGACCGCAATCATCTTCTGACATTCTAAAAAAATTTAAAAAAAATCTGTGGACATAAACCATAAACCACAATATATTTGCTATGATTTGCAGGAAATATCAAAAGCCAATATCAAAAGTCACCTAGAATTGCCTAGTCACCTTGGTGAGATGGACAGCATGGAAGTCTAATAATAAATAAATAACAAATAATTCAAACTTTTGTTGTCCACGGTAGTAGAAATGGAAGTAAATGGAAGTGCATGTCTGAAATGGCAACATGATGCCAGTTATCTTTCAAAATCTGCCATAACTTTCGCCATTAAACTAGCATTACAATATTTCTTGAAAGTATTTTATGTTATGAGAGTTTATAATTATTATATATGACAAGAGAAATCACCCATCTTCCAAAACAAATGACTGGGCAGTGTACAACAAAGTTACAAAAATATTCTGAACTACTTTCCATTGCACCGTTAATAGATGCTGCTTCATAACAGAATAACAGAGTTGGAAGGGATCTTGGAGGTCTTCTAGTCCAACCCCTTGCTCTAGCAGAAAACCCTATTACCATTTCAGACACATGGTTGTCCAGTCTTTTTTCTTTAAAAAAAAAAACTCCAGTGTTGGAGCATCCACAACTTCTGGAGGCAAGTTGTTCCACTAACTGACAGGAAATTTCTCCTTAGTTTTAGGTTGCTTCTCTCCTTGATTAGTTTCCATCCATTGCTTCTTGTCCTGCCTTCAGGTGTTTTGGAAAATAGCTTGATTCCCTCAAATATTGAAACACTGCTACCGTGTCACACCTAGTCCTTCTCTTCATTATATTAGACGTACCCAATTTCTTCAACCATTCTCCATACATTTTACTTTCTAGTCCCCTAATTATCTTTGTTGTTCTTCTCTGTGCTCTTTATTTGCCTCTCTTCTTATATATTAAGGAAAATCCTTGTAAATTGTTTATCTTCTTTTCCAGGTCTGCTTCAAAGAAGCAGTTTTTACACTATTGCCTCGAATGAGGTTTGGCTTATTTTATAATACACCATTGGTGAGTACATCTGGTGAGATTAATACACTTTTAAAAACAAAACAAAACAAGCAGAATACTTGGGTCTGAATAAACATGGTGATTTTTATCCCTCTCTCTCATTTTATATATGGTAGAAAATTAAAGCATAAACATGTTTACATTTTATTCCTGTGTCTGGTTTAATTGCAGATCTCCGGCTGTCATGGGACAGGATTATTCAGAGCCTTTTCCCAACATGTTTTGCACAGATTAAATATCACCCAAGATGGGCCTAAGGTACTAGTTTGGTTGCAATAGTAGTCCTTAACATACAACCATAATTTAGGCCGGGATTACAATCCTAAATCATGCTTGTTATTAAGTGGTTAACCATATGACTGACAGTGGTGGTATGCTACCGGTTTGGACCAGTTCAGCCAATCCGGTAGTAAAAAAAAAGCCGACCATCAGTTGAGAAGAGGAAAAAAATCAGAAATCAGCTGATTTCTGAAGAGAAAAGTGCAGGATCAACCCTTCCACCTGCCCCTGCGCTTTTCTCTTCTTTATCCTCTCAGCTGATTGGCGCTGCAGGTCTCGGCTAGTGTGGGGAAAGCTGCATGCCGGTGTTATGCAAAGCACTCCCACCAAGCCACGCCCACCGCATCAGTGGTAAAACAATTTGAATCCCACCACTGATGACTGATCAATTTTACAAACTTCTGTAGTGGTCATTAAATGACCATGATGGTGGTTATGTGTCATTAAGCAAACGCTGCACTCATGAAATTAATCCATTGTCCTGATAGGGTGTTTTTTTTCCAGAAACAAGCATTTATCTTAAATTACAGTCATGTGACTGCAGGAAATTGCAAACAGCTATGAATGCAGGTCAGTTGCCAAGCACACAAAATGCAATCTTTGAGAGGGACCCCACTAAGCAACCTGTCGTAACTTCAGGAATACCTGTACTAAAATGAGACTGAAATTGTTTGCTCTCAAACCCCCCCCCCCCCCATCCTAATGATAATTAGGATAGGGCCTTGGACAGCAAAGTCCAGCAGCTCTGATATATCCAGTTGCCCCAGAATAATTTTCACTACTCAAGAATTTCCTTTTCTTCTACTAGGAAGTCTATTCTCTAAAAGCCACCTGATAAATCCTTGATCGGTCTTTGTTTCCTATTCAGTAATTTTGCTGATTTTTCCGTTAACTTGACTGTTATTTTTGTCAGTTTTTACAGGCTGCGGAAAAAAAATAAGTTCAGTTCCTTAAAGTATTAACTGTAGAATGTAAAGTATATTCATCACAAGGGGCTAACACTTTCTTGCTTTCCACATCCATTTGCTGTACATTTCCTGCTGGTCTTAATAGATTTCATGCTGTTCAACCTTTGTATTCCTTTTTTACGATTTACCCCTGAAGATGGAATGATTTTTTAAATTGAGAAGGAAAATAATTTTATTTGGAGGGCTAATCTTATTTTTTTCCTCCATTACTCACCTGTGTATTAAGTGGCCCTGTTCAGATTCAGTAACGGTATTCAATGATGTTGTCCATTTTATATTCAATAAATATAATGTATTTTAAAAGCCTATGCCTCTTCAGGCACTTTCTGAGTTGGCATAGAGGTAGCTGAAAGTCTCTTAAATGGTTTAGCTGTTTGTGGCAAATACTCCTACTAAAGCTTCAGCTGAAGTGTTTGCAGCCTTCTTGCATGTTATATAAATGAGGTGATTAAAAGCAAAAGACAGTTTAACCGTCCTACTAATTGTTGCTGTTAAGGCTAGTCATTTTTTTCAGTTGTCGCTCTACTGGTCTTTTTTTGGTTTTGGTGCAGTGAATTGATTAATGAACTGTTTTGGCTGAATTCGTCTGTTTTTGTTTTTCAATAGGATGGAAAAATCAGAGTTACAATTCTTGCCCGGACTACAGAGTATAGAAAGATATTAAACCAAAATGAGGTTTGCTCATTTTTTTTCCTTCGGTTAAATCTCTTTGCTTTAGAGTTGCCACATAGGAAAAGGTAACTTTAATGCTACCTTGAACATTTTTGTTTTTTTTCCTCTACCTCTTCAGCTTGCCAATGCTTTGAAAACACTGCCGTTATTTGATGTCCAAATAGTGAATTACAAGTACAAGTAAGTATACCTGAAAGGAGAAGTAGAGCTGGCCTACAGTTCTTCATACCAAATCAGTATATGACATATCAGTATCTGCAGGGATGGGTTCTGTTGATCTGTCTGTCTGCGTGTCTGTCTGTCCATCCGTCCATCCATCTTAGGAACCATCCACCTCCTTCACAGGGAGACTGTGGGTGGTGTAGAAATAATGTTAAAAAACATAAAAACTAAAATAAAATCTACAGTAGGCAAGGAGAGTTAAAGTTTTTACATTAAGAACTAATTAAAAAGCATGAGGGGAGGAGAATTTCAGGGTGCTAACCAGCCCCATTGCTGCATGCTCGTCGGTGAGTCCCAAACAATAAGAGAAATATTTAAATATTTATGAAAGGCCAGGAGAGTGGGGGCTCTCCTTGCTTAATTGAGGAGGGGGAGAATGTTCCAAAGAGCAGGGGCAGTGGGAGAAAAGGCTCCCTTCCCAGACTCTTTCAACTGAGAGTGTTTGCAACGTATTTTCCCTTCCTATCCAGGTGGTAGATGTTAATGTGATGCGTTGAAGATGGTTTTTTAGATCGCTTGGCCCCAGGCCGTGCAGGGCTTTAAAGATCATAGCTACCATCTTGAATTGGACTCAGAAACATGCTGGTATCCAATGCAGTTCATAAAGCAAAGATATTACATGCGTTATTATACGCAGCGGCGGCTAGCATAAAACTGTCATAGATCCTCCTTAACAGGAATCTGTATTTCAGAAGGTTCCACACAATTTCCGAGTAGCAATTGTAGTGTTCACACAATCTCTGAGTAGCAATTGCCGTGGGCTGAGGACAAACATTCAGTCCCTTTTTTTGAACAAGCCAAAATGTTTTTCCATAGTGCAAAGGCACTGTTGGGTACAGCCCAGTCACTTTGAACTGCTGAAATTGTAGGACACTTTCTAAGGAATGAACTACTTCTTAGAATATATTTCTGACAAACATGCTGACATTGAGAGCAATGTATGGATTTAAATCTAGTAATGTACTTGTCTAAACATAGCGCTAGACAATGAAATATATATATTTTAATGTATATTTGCATGGCAGCCTTGTAAGGTGCTTCCAGGCAATCAGATGCTGCCGTAAATGGATCCATTGACTGACCCTTTAGCCTTAATCACAGACTCTCCTCCAGGTACCTTAGAGTAGAATATCAGAGCTGGAAGGTTTTCTCATCCAGTCCCTTGCTCAGGCAAGAGGTCCTATATCATTTCAGACAAATGGTTATCCAATATCTTTTTAAAATCTTCCAGTGTTGGAGCATTTACAACTTCTGGAGGCAAGTTGTTCCACTGATTAATTGTTCTAACTGTGTCAGGAAATTTCTCCTTAGTTCTAGGTTGCTTCTCTCCTTGATTAGTTTCCATCCTTTGCTTCTTGTCCTGCCCTCAGGTGCTTTGGAGAATAGCTTGACTCCCTCTTTTTTGTGGCAGCCCCTGAGATATTGGAACACGGCTATCATGTCACCCCTAGTCTTTCTTTTCATTAAACTAGACATACCCATACCATTCTTCATATATTTTAGCCTTTCAGTCCCCTGATCATCTTTGTTGCTCTTCTCTGCACTCTTTCTAGAGTCTCAACGTCTTTTTTATATCCTGGCGACCAAAACTGAATACAGTTTTCCAAGTGTGGTCTTGCCAAGGCATTATAAAGTGGTATTAACACATCACGTGATCTTGATTCTTTCCCTATGTTAATGCAGCCTTGAACTCTGTTGGCTTTTTTGGCAGTTGCAGCACATTGCTGGGTCATATTTAAATGGTTGTCCACTAGACTAGGACACCAAGATCCCTCTCACAGTTACTACTATTGAGCGAGGTACCATATATACTGTACCTTGTGCATTTTGTTTTTCTTGTCTAAATGTAAAACTTTATTTTTTCCCCATTGAATTTTATTTTGTTAGAGAAGATTGCTGGTATTGCTGGTACCCATCAGTGAAATTGTTTCCCCAGAAATAATGTGCAGGATGAACAGTTTGAAAGATGTTATTATTTCAGGCACTTTAGAAAATCCTGTTTCTGTTTTGCCGTTGGCTCTACTTTGATTTTTGTCAGCTTCATTTTCATTTGCTATTATGGCTAGTGGTTTTAATCACTGTCGTGCTGTTGTTTGGTCATTTTGTGTCTCTTTGATTTATACTGTAGATTTTAATAGATTTACAAGCTACCTAGGGAAGTGTAGTTGTGAGGCAGTTTAGACATACACAAGATGATGTAGCTCAAGGACATGTTTATTTTAATGTGTTTCTTATTCATTACATTCCTCGAGGACTTTTTTCATAGCCTCGAGCTCTTTTCAAATTGTTTTCTTGTGCTTTTTCTGGAATACACAAACTTGGGTGTGTGTATGTGTATGTGTGCATATGTATATGTATTTGTGTGTGTGTGTGTGTGTGTGTGTGTGTGTGCACGCGAATGTGCATATATCCTTATTTTTACTGCTTTATATAGGGCGCTTGAATTTAAGGAGCAGCTGAAGATAACTCACAATTCTGATATCTTCATTGGAATGCACGGAGCAGGCCTTACTCATCTTCTCTTTTTGCCAGATTGGGCTGTCATCTTTGAACTGTAAGTCCTTCCTTGGCAGTTATGCCTGTATGTTTAATATCTGTGCATGAGGGTGTGGGCATGCATTACATGAAGATGGATTTCCTGCTGCAGAGAAAGCTCCAAATTTCTGGTTTTTTTAATATATGCGTGACAGTGAAGGATGGCATGACTTGCTGTGTCACAGGAGCTGTCAAAATTACCTAGGTGGTAATTGGTAAAAATCAAGAAATGCTTCTTCAAATCGATGTGGTAACCCTGTTTGCTGACTTTTATTGGATTGAGGTTGACAGCGGGCAGCCTCCAGGCTAAATCCAGTCTCCTTTTCTGGGTGGTTTGTCAGAAAAACTAGTCGTTGCCTGGATCATTTTAAAACAAACTTTAAAAATCACATCTAATCTTTCACTCTGAGGCAACACATGTGGAAATCAACCACAAAGACGATATGCTTGCTCATTGTGGCTGCTTCTTTCTTTCTTTTCTCTCTTATGAGAACATGGCCAAGTTTGTCAATTGGATTAGTCTTCGTGCCAATGAAGACACTGTATTTTAAAACTGTGTATTGCTGCTGCAGTTTCCCATTCTCTCTATTCTCTGGTTTCATAAGTGATACAACTACACACTGGCAAAGATAAACATGAAGTATTTGATCTTTGGCTTTCCAAAACTTGCTTCTCCTTTCTATAGGGACAGAGATGGAAAAAGAAAAAAACAGCTGGTTAGTTTTCTGGTCAAATTGTCTCTGATAACACCCCCTTCCCTCACTTCTGCATCTCCAGGTACAATTGTAAAGATGAACGTTGCTACTTAGACCTTGCAAGACTGAGAGGTATCTATTACATCACCTGGCAGCAGAAGGATAAAGTGTTCCCTCAGGATGAGGTACTGAAAGGTTGGGTGGGATGGATGGAAAGGACTTTATTTCCTTAGGTCTTAATTGTTTTTGTATTACCCTTCTCAGTTCTTCTACATGAAATATGATTCTGCTCTACAGCCCAAATTAAATTCTCTGCTCTGATTAAGGAGTCATTTTATATTAATAGCTGGGGGAGGAAGAGTAATGAAATTAATTGGCCATTAGTTTAGGCTGTCAATAGCGTTGCTGAGAGGGGTTTTCTAACTGATATGGTGGTTTTGGGGTGGATCAATAAATCAGCTATTATGAATTATGATAATTGCTCAATATGCTCAGTGCTTCCTCAAAATAATTTAACTCCTGTTTCTTCAGGGGCATCATCCGACATTAGGAAAACATCCAAAATTTACAAATTACGCCTTCGATGTGGAAGAATTTGTCCGTCTGGTTCTGTTGGCAGCTGATCATGTGTCACAACACTCCAAATGGCCATTTAGGAGAAAACATGATGAATTCTAGGTCAGATAATTGGCCTCCTTGGCAGAGTTTTTAAATACTAAAGTGTTCAGAATGTCGGCTCTTTTGAAGTAGAATCATGAATTATGAACTTGTTTGAAGAGGGAGAAGTGAAAAAGGTTAAATGGGCAGGAGTCATATATAATGTCTCCCTCCAAGCATGTTATTTCTGTATTATTACTTTCTTACTGACAATCCCTGTCCTATTTTACTTGAGGAATTTGCATTATGCATGATCCATTTATTAAGGTGACCATGTTTGCACTATAATCTTCCTATTTATTTTAGGATTGTTAGCTTCATTGCTCCAGAGCAATGAGATAAGCACACTGGACCTTTTTTCTCCTGCTTCTTTTTGTGACGTGTAGCGAGATTTTTGCAGCCTTGTATCTCCCTCCCTCCCTCCCTCAGCACTGACAGAGAGCTGAAAGTGAAAATCCAGCTGAGCTGCATCTAGTCAGTATTTTTTTGTGTAATGGAAAAGCTAAGAAAGCAGGTTGATAATGCAATTTATGTGTGACATGCTTAAATGTTACACTTTTTTAAAAAGTAGGAAATCACAGCTGAGAGAAGGGGATTTTGGCATGAAATTCACAGAGGGCCTCTGTCCTATTCAGCTGTGCAATCCCAAGCTGGCGTTCTGACTTCATTTTTAATGAAAAGAGAAGTATCTCTCTGAAATATGCTTATCCATGTTTTTGTTTCTATTGCTCTATGCATTTCACCTTATACTGTCATACAGGTAATCCTCAGTTAATGACCATTTATTCAGCAAGCATTCAAAGTTATGACAGTGCTGAATGAGGAGACTTGTGCCTGGTCCTCCAAGTTGTGGCCATCATGGTCTTGTGATCATGTTTCAGGCACTTGGCAACTGGCTTGCAATTATAATGGTTGTAGCATCCTATGGTCACTATTTATAACTTCCGCTGCTAGTTTCCAACAAGCAAAGGCAATGGGAAAGCCAGCAGGAGGTCGCCAGTAGCGATCACATGACATAATGGAAGGCTCTTCTAGTGGCAACTAAGGCTGCTGGGACTGTTATCATAGATCAGTGTCGTCATTGTTACTTAGTGACAAAGTTATTGGTCCCAATTGCCATCGTTAACTGAGGACTACCTGCACATTTAGTTTTACTCATTAATCATTCCTCTGCTTGCTTCCTTGTGGGTGTGCATGTTTCATTACACATGGGACGGCAGGTGCATGGATGAAATAATTTATTACTGTAGCAGTTTCCTCCCTGGATCCTACTCTTTATTTTTCTTACTTGGACAACATTTTCACTCTTTTTAATCGCCTTGATTTATCTTGCTAACCATGCTATACAATCATTCTAACTTTGTCTAACCCTCAACATTGTATACATCCTATTAGACTTATGTTACTATTGTTTTAAACATCTGCCTAAATGGTTCAGGGGGGTTGGTTTTTTTGGGGGGGGGGGAGAGAAAGAGCCTCATTGAATAGTATTTGGCATGAAATTCCAAATCATTTTCCATGTATATATCAGGGCTATCAAACTCGCAGCCCCCAGGCCGGATGCAACCCTGACCCACACCCACCCAGCGAAGGGGATAAAAGTCCCAATACATCACGTGACACCGCCGTGATGCCGCAAGTTTGACACTCCTGATGTACATCGCTGGCTATTTTTCATGTAATTGTGATGCACCTTCCGAAAGTCCAAATGGGATTAGGATAGGATAGGTCCCTGTTACTACATTTCTTGTTGTTTCTTATGGAAATAGCCATAAAGTTGATTAGAATTAATTTTGTCTGCATCCCTTGCCATTGAGAGTATGGGGGTGGGGGAAGCATAAGAATGATATTGATTCTAATTTGCACTGTTGTGTAGCTGGAACACTAGAAACCTTGATTTAGGGTGTCCTGCCCTTGACAGAAAAGGACTCCTCCTTATTTGTATGCAAAAATAGACAAGCATAAATAGTTGGGTGGTATATAATGATTGATATTATTGACCCCTTTTTAAATAATCAAAAGCAATTGCGACCCTGTTGGTTGTTGTGTTTATAGAAGGGGTTAGAAAAGAGCAGCCTATGGACTCTTGTAACATGAGTCACTGCAAAAGGGAACTGAAAACTTTTGAAATGGGCTGGATTATGAAGATTCGCCTTTCCTTCTTAGACTGGAGCAATTGGTTGAAAAAACACTTGTCTATAAAACTTGAAAACTGTACACATAAATCCCCCCCCCCCCAAAAGGATCATTAAGAAAGAAAGAAAAACACGTCAAGCAGTATCGAAGTGTTTTTCTTGAAAAAAACTTAAAGGAAAATTTACTTTGTAAAATATAGGCATTTATTTCTTAATGGACTTTTATAGATCATGTCAGATCACTGTAAATATTTATTATCAGATGTGCCAAGGTTTAAAAAATGTATGTTTTACAACCATTTTTCCTCTGGAGCAAACATTTATTCCTCAATTATTGGAAAAACATTAGGATCCTTAATGCATTCTCATCCATCATCCGATTAAAGCTTTGGAGTCTGTCTTGGAAAGATACACTGACTTTGAATGGTCATCATCATAATAACTAAGTGGACAGCACACAGTCTAGAGCTCTGTACGCTGTGCAGCACTGAAGGTTAATTATCTGCTAAGAAATAGAATCAAAGAAAGCAAAGTCAGCTGGAACCTATTATGATCCCAAAATATTTAATATCTTTTAAATATAAAAGAGAAATGGAAGACTGGGCTGATGAGTTTGGAGGATTAGTCCATTATTCCTAGTGTGAGGAAAGGCTTGGCGAAAACTAATATTCACATTATAGTAATTGGAGTAACATTTGTTAGACCTGGAATCACTTTATTGTCACTTTGAATGTATACAAATCAGCATAGATTAAAATGAAATTTCTTTGCATACAAAGGGTCACCACCTCCAATATACACTACATAAACATGACTAAATAAATAAATACAAAATTATGCATATACCCACATATATGACATGGAGAAACAGCACATTCGAGTTTGGATGTATAGATGTACGTGGCAAGAAAAATGAACCTTGTGAGTTTACCAGGTGGATGGCATAGGGAATAACGCTGTTACAGAATCTGGTAGTCCTACTAGAGATACATTGAAACCTCCTCCCAGAGGACAGCAACAGAAACAAACCATGAAGTGGTGTGCAGAGTCTCTAATAATGCTTTGAGCCCTAAGTACATAGCGCTTATAAGCAGTATCCTGAATAACAGGAAGCAGGCTTCCTATAATCTTCTCCGTTGTCCCTACCACTCTCTGAATGGACTTTCTATCTAAGGCACAGCACCAAATCAAACAGTGATGCAGTTTGTTAATAACACTCTCCATTGTAAAAAGTGGCCAGGATAGAAGGAGAAAGATGTGCTCTCTTCATCTAATGCAGGAAATTCAGACACTGGTTTGCCCACTTCACTAAGGATGATGTGTGGAAAGGCCAGCTCAGATTGTTAGTTATCTGCACCCACAGATATTTAATAATGTTGGCCACCTCTACACCTCCATCCTTGATACTGAGTGGAGTTTTAAATGATTTAAACTGAAAGATTATCTTAGATATTTGGGCAAGCTGAAGGCTTTCTCCAACCACTCTTTGTTTAGCGACTGAGTTTCATTTTAACAGTCCAGTTGTTAAGTGAAATTATTGCTGAGTGGACACCTGACAGAGAAAGAGAGAGGCATACTGTGAAGAGTAGAGTAGAGTAGAGTAGAACAGAACAGAATAGAATTCTTTATAGGCCAAGTGTGATTGGACACACAAGGAATTTGTCTTGGTGCAAATGCTTTCAGCATACATAAAAGAAAAGGTACATTTGTCAAGAGTCAAGAATCATAAGGTAGAACACTTAATAATAGTCATAGGATACAATAAGCAACCAAATCATACTAGGAAACAGTCAATATAAATCGTAAGGATACAAGCAATAGTTACAGTCATATAGTGACAAGTGGGAGGGGATGGGTGATAAGGAGTGAGGAGAAGATTAATAGTAATAGTTTAGACTTTGTAAATAGTTGGACAGTTGAGGAAATTATTTCTTTAGCAGAGTGATGGCGTTCAGGGAAAAAACTCCTTGTGTCTAGTTGTTCTGGTGTGCAGTGCTCTATAGCGTCATTTTGAGGGTATACATTAAGATAAAGTTCTCTCGTACAGCTACAGTACACCAGTGTTACTCCTTCCAATGTGCATTGTTCTCAAGTGCACAAAATTTAGTCATAAATAGGGACACTCATTGGAAAATGAATTATTGCCATCATTTTTGCAAAAGTCACTAACCAGTCACTAAAAGTCACTAATTGCTAAACAAGGAGTGGGTGCAGTGACATGGCTATACAATGCAAGGCTTAGGACTTTCGTTAGATTCATTGGAAATACTCCCCACAAAAGCTCATAGGGCAGTTTCATAAATTGTCTAGTAATTGCATATCCCTCTGTTTGTTATATTTCCAAAACTAAATGTCTACAGTGTAATAGGAGGTAATGAATGCATGTTGATAATAATGTGATGTACTGTGTAAAGTACTGCTGAAAATATTTGGGGAGGCTATAATCCATACCTAGAGAACAGTGATCTATATACATTGTTTTTTGTATTATCATTCTATTATGAAATGTTGCTCCGTGCACTCCAGTTACTTATGTGCGGGTATTTCAAAATTTATGAAGCCATTCACTTGAAAAGAATGTGGATTTTGAGGTCTGGAACAACTCATTTTACCTTTGAATACAGATTGGGAAGAACTGTGTTTAATTTTAGAAGCAAGTAAACTATTTCGTATGCATTTGAAAAGCTTTGTCCTATGCCACCAGTTTCTGAATTGTTTTTTGTTTTATTCCTGAACAGTCTTTTGCTGTTGACTTTTTAAATAAAACACTAGCTTTTGGTCTTTGAGCATTTTTTTTTTTTTGATAAAGCATTTCTTTGAAAAAACAATAAGGTTTCAGTGTGAGACTTTGCTTTCTCTACATGCCCATCCATCATTGCTTTAAAGAGTTGTAAAGAGGTGTAATATTTTCACCCCCGTGTGTTTCATGCAATAGAATGTATGCACTGTGCAGTTATTTTATATGTATTTTACGATGTGTAATCTATTTTCAGGCTCCTTTACCATTTTTTCAATATTTAATATGCCACTAGATGGTGCTAAAATACCGTCAGGTTAAGAATGATAATTCAGATGCTCCAGAGAATGAAATTCAGGATCTAAAAGCATAGTTTAGAAACTCCAATATTCACCTATAATTAGATGTGAGCACACTAACAGAGTCATTTAATTATTATGGGTTGGGTCTAGGCTTAATTATATCTAGATTAAATTCAGTGAAATCAACGGAGCTTAAGTTAATCACGACGAATTGATTTCCATTTCAATGGATCTACTTGAAAGGGAAGATCCAATGTGTGAAAGTTTATAATCCCCTCTTTTTATCCGCTAGGGCCTCTAGGTGGCGGACAAACATAATTTTACAGCACTATAAAAATGTCAACAATAAAACGTACAAACAAGCTAACAAAAACAGTTTAATGTATTTAGCTGCAGATTAAAATGTTTATTTTAATTGGAACCGTCCCTGTGAGCAGATGTTCAGTGATGATAGTTTGTTACATTTAACCTCTGTACATCTTGATGCAGTGAGCAGGCTTTTTCCAAACAATACATTATTTGCCTTCTGGGCAAATAATGTTAACCTTGACTAAAGTGACTCAGCATGTCAGATATGTCTTTTCTGTGATAAGTGCATCTGGATCTTCATAAACTATAGAAAATGGTGGGTTTTGCTTTTCCACATATAGATTGAGCTGTCAGATTAAAGCTTGTCCTAAATCTTGAGGAAAACTGACTTCTGAGGCGTTCCAATAGATAAAAAAATCTAGTCCTCTATGACATATCAGTGACAACTATATTTGATTTTAGTAATGTCTCCCAAAATCATACTGTTATGGCTATAACTCTGTAGTTCTTTATTTATGAGGTATCCTTTTCCATATATGTGATAGCCATGTGACATGAAAGCAGTGATTGTGAAGCTCTTCAATTCTGCCACACATACATAGAATTCTCCATTGTTTAAAAGCAGGAGAAGATGAAGGGAAGAAATTTAGGCTAAAAAAGCCTAATTTCATCCAATCAAGGCATCCCACAATAGTATATAGATAGTTGATATAAATAGAATTTGAGATAATGTGATGTACCTCACTTTTGTATGAAATGACCGAGGCAGAATTAAAACATTAATGAGGATCCTCCTAATTAAATAAATTAGGCTCAGTTTTTCAAATTAAGCTTGATAATAACCAAGAGTCCGGTTCCTTAGAAATGCCAATACCCAAAATTTCCCCAATCCCCTGATGTCTGCAGATTCCTCAAATTAAATCCTTACTCAATTAATATACATCATTATGGATATTGTGTATGCTGCTGTTCAAGTGCCAACTTGCTAGTTGATTGTTAAAACATTTTTAATCTGGTTACCAAATTAATAGATTATCCTGGTTTATATAATTAAGCCACAAG